CTTCAGCCCACCACAGCTATAGGGACTCAGGACCCACAGAATGGACCGAACCGCACACCCTGGAACACAGAACTCTTAGAATCTGTTAGATGAGGGTGTTGGACGAGAACACACTTGCTCCCTGTAATCGAGGAAGCAGCAGGAAATGATGCTGCACACACACACTCCTCTCCCAGCTTCATTAGGCATTGATGATAACATCAGACAGCACCAACCCCAAGGGACCCCTGAAATGGGCAAATGGCAGGCACAGTTGCTACCCAGTGGCAGGTGGGTAAGCAGTGTGGACCCACCTTGGGTTGCAACCCTAGGTGGATCCACACTGCTCTGTTTGCTGTGTGGCTCTGAGCCAGTCTCCCAACCTCCCTGAGTCTCTGTTCCCAAACTCTGCCAACTTACACAATGCAACAATCTATACAATGATCTGCGCCCTCAAGGAGCTTACAGGCTGGTTGGTGGAGGAAAGACACCCACATCCAGCCCAGCCCCCAACTCTCCAGGTAGCCTACTGTGGCTCCCTTCCTTCCCCTGGCATCCTCCTTTCTAAACGGAAGGGCCTGCTGTCACTGACAGAGCTCCAAAGAAACCCACATGCTGTGAGGACTGAGATACCAGGCACAGAGGGCCAAGGTTCCAGCAAGGACTGCCCGATCCCAGTGATGGGCAGCTTAGACCATGCCTTGCATACAGCTGGACAGTGACTGCCCAGCTCCCACCCTGAGGGCCCTTGCCCAGTGTTCCATAACAAGCATCCCCACCCCCTTCCCTGCGCCAGACCCTGGCAGGGGTAAAGTATCTCATTTAACCCTCACCATTAAGGATATGTCGTTATTATCATCCTCGATTTACAAGTGAGAAAACGGAGGGACAGGGTGCTTAATAAAGCACTTGAACGGTTATCTTACAGGCACTAGAATAAGATAGCAGAGGGGAGCCACTGGTCCTAAAGAAGCTCGCCCTGTGCACCGCCTCCAGCCCCACAGCATGGAGTCAGGCAGGCCCGGGTGCTTAAGCAGCCTTGCCACTTCAGGCTCCCGCTAAGTGACTCAGAGCTCACCCAGCCCGGCCTGGCCAGGGCTCCTTCCCTCACCCAGGGCTTAAAGCTCCTTCTGACATGTTCATTGTTTTTCTAGGCTGGAGTCAGAGATGCTGAGAGAACCCTGCCCTCTGCCACTAGCCTTTCTCGGAACTGCCATTTCTTCATCCTGCAATTCTGAGAATTATGGCATGTTCTACTTTAAAGTTGGAAAAAAAAAAAGTTTGCCTACCAGCCACTCACACCTTAGTATGAATTTACTTAACTAGCTTTCTCTTCCTTTCCTCCCCAAACTAAACTGAAATCAAGCAAATGGAAGAGGAATGGAAATACTGCAGAGAAGAGGACAGCCTGACAGGGGCCTTGGACAGTCAGGTGACAGTACCCCAGGCCCGGAATTAGGTGAGGAAACCAGAGTGCCAGAGTCCTGACAGTACCCCAAAAGTTCTAGGCTTTTCATTCTTCCCAAATCCCATCAAAGACTCCAGGTGTAAGGTCTCTAGATTTGCTTAAAGCTCTGCATTCTAGCCTCCCTCCACCACCCCCAGCCCCAGTCACCTTGGTGAAGCCACTTGCCCCCTCTACACTGTTTAGTGGGGATCACGTATCCAAATTGGGAGCTGATGTAGAGATCAAATGAAGGTTTTCCATCAACTACTCAGCAGAGCTGAAGCAAGTGCGTCTCCTCTCCTGCAGCCCCTCGCCCTGCCCACGCATGCCTCCTTGCCTGCCTGGACCTGGGACTAAGCCTCAAGAGGCCCATCCTTCCCCCAAGTGACCTCAACAACAGGACAGGGAAGTAAAGCAGAGACCATGGAGCTGGATAAAACAGAGTCCCAGGGCCGACGCTGGGATTGTCATTGTGCGAGACAAACTAGGGCAGTCTCCATCCTGGAGCTGCAGACACCCTGTTTGGGGATGACATGCATCCCAGGACACTGAGGGTGACAAGGCTCTTGTGATCGGCAGACCCCCAGAACTCCAGGAGATGGAAGGCCAGGCCAGCAAGTGGTGTGATCTCTGGGTGGTCCCCAGCGTTTGTCTAGTAGTGGCCTGGGAGGGCATGGAGCTGCCCTGCACCCTTGCTAGCCCCTCATCCCCTTCCCCGGTACTTAAATCAGGACAGGTGCCCACCAGGCTCCTTTTGATCATTTTACTTTGCTCCTGCCAGGGTCTGGCTTGGGGAAAGGAACAGGGATGCTTGTTGTAGAACACTGGGCAGGGCCCTCAGGGTGGGAGCTGGGCAGTCACACTGTGCAGGCTCACGTTCCAAGCCTGCCACTTACATTATGGGCAGTTGGCCCGGCAATGAGCCTCAGTTTCCTCCTCTATGAAATGGGAAGAATCACACTTGTCTCACTGGGTTGTGGTAAGGAGTCAATGAAATGGAGGATGCTGGCGCTTAGTAAAGTGCCTGACATGTAGTGAGTGTCAATAAATGTCAACTGCTGTCATCATCAGCGCCATCATATTATTTGTCCTTAGACACATCAAATGCCCTGGCCTGGCCCAACACATTGTGCCCGCCTCTGCCCCTCACCTTTCTGACTTCACCTCCGGCCCTGCCCTTCCACACAACCTTGCATTCCATCTTGCAGAATGACTCGTGCCTTCACCACCCACCAAGACCTGTCACCCCTAGGCCATTTCCCTCCCTGAATATGTCCTCCAGTGTGACAGCCAGTACAGCCCCCTGTCTCCGGGCTCCAAGTAGGCAGGTGGGCAGCTTAACCCACAGGACCTCAGATCCCCACAGCACAGAGCGAGCTGGAAAAGCTAACAGTGGGCCCTCGGGGGGGAACATTCCTCGCATGGCATCCCTGGAAGGGACCAGGATGACACAAAGGTAAACACTCCATTCACCTACTGAGGCCACCCAGAACTCAGACCAAAGTCCTTCAAGACCTCTCTCAATGTCCTTGGCATAGGAAATCCCCAATTTCCTCCCCAAATCCTTCCACCCCTTAGAATTCTAAGGCATTGGACACATTTTCCAACATAGTCCTTTTGCACAGTCACGAGTAGCAGAGACCTTCTCACCACCCAATACCAAAGACTACTTTGGGGTATCTGGGCGGAAATCTCAGACACAGGCCCAGTGAGGCCCAAAGGCAACCAAACTAATGGCCTTGGGGTCTCCTGAGACCTCCCAGCCTCTGGATTTGGGGAGGGGCTTCCTGCAAGTGCTTAGGGGTCTGGTCCTTCCAGCCTGAGCCACACCAGGCCTCCTCTGGAATGGCTGGGATCAAATGAGACTACATCTGCAAACACCCTGAAACTGTAAGGTATGCACATGCACACACGCGCGCGCGCGCACACACACACACACACACACACACACACACCCCACAGACTTTCCACCATTAACAATAGGGAGAAAGAGGATGCCAAAAAATTACCCATCTGTCCAGACAACCAACGCCAATGGAATCCATCTGAGGGCTGGCAGTGACACAAAATCGTAAATTCAGAAATACTTTTAAGCCCCCTGCTTCAAAATTATATGTGGCTTTCACTCATGTAGGTGCAGAGGAAAAAGAAAGGATTGAAATTTTAACTTGTGTTCATCTGGCTAGGACTTTGAGGGAAAGAAATTATTAGAGAAGGAAGTACCCTAATGAGGGGAGCCACCAGAGACCAGAAGGCACTCAGGAATAGGACCCAGAAGACCTGGATTCCAGGACCACTGGAGCCCAGGACCAGGCTGCCCAATGTGGGACCCTGTGTGGCAAGTCACATTCCTGCTTCCGCTTCCAGCCTCCCCATCTCTGCAACAGCCATACTCTTGTGAGCTCCCATGCCTTGGTGAGAAGGGAATGGATTGGCGAAGGCTGTGGGTTAGGGAAATGGCCAGGCAGCTGTGAGCAACCAGTGCTGCATTATCCTTAGAGTTTCAGAGAGACCGCATCAAGAATGACAGGACTTTAGGGGAAATACATGTATCGAAGGTACATTTGGCCCTTGCAGAAAAGTGGGGGACAAAACAGTGACGAAGAGCACAGACCCTGGAGACAAACAGCCCGTGGCTGTTCCAAGAGAATGCACATAAAGGCAGCCGAGTGGAGTGCTAGCCATAGCATACACTCAATAAATGGCTATTATTTTGGCGACTGCTACCATGGCATGGATGTGGGGTGAGGGAAGAATGGCTCAGATGGAGACACACAGCCATCCAGCCATGCCCACTAGGTATGCAGCCCCAGCCTGAGGGGCTGTCAGTCCCAGCCAGCACGCCACCAGGCCACTATGCCACCAGCCATGCTCCCAAAGGGCCCCACAGACCTTGCCTCTGGCCCTCAATGTCCCCAGTCCAACACCAACCTCTCATTTCTCAAGGAAAGTTTGATTCAGGTATTCCTCCGGATGTGGGGGTCCCTATGACCAGCTTCTAACTGCAGGGGACAGAGGACTCCAAAGCAGGGTTCCCTTGGCTTCCTATCCCAGCATCCGCTGCTCAGGGAGAGAGACAGAAACCACTGGCCTTTGCCAAACTCCTCACTTGCCAGATCCTCCCTGCAAGCTCATTCAACCGACTCCAATTTCCCCAATCTTCTGACCCTTCACATTGGTCCCTCCCCCAGTGTGGGGACAGGAGGAAGACAAATGTGTACCACTTCCACTTTGCTGCCTCTCGCAGCTGGGGGAAGAGGATCTCTTTCTAAACGAGAGATGGAGAGCTGTGCTGAGTTTTTATCATTTCCAAGCGAGACAAGGGAGAGACAACCGGTTAAAACATGGTAGACAGGTGCTTTAAAAGTTATCTTCAGGTTTCATTCATACAGACTGTTCTTAACCCCAAGAACACCAGCGACTGAAACACTGGCAATCTTCCCATCCAAGGATTGGAGGAAAAGGGAAACAAAAAGAAGAGGGGAAGTCAAAAAGTCTTCCACCAAGCCCCCTCCTCAGCTGTCCCCTTCGATAAATTTCAACACAACAGCAATGCACGAGAAAAAACGCCGACCTGAGAATTCACCCGGAGCAGTGATGAGGGAGTTGGTAGCCTCCGTTTCAGTGTAAGACAATGTGGAATCGGACAGATCTGTGGGAGAAAAGAAAAAGAGAACTTAGTTGGCCGTGGGGCAGCGCTCTCTTTTTTCTTCCTTCTCATGCATCTGTGTATGTGTGCACGTGTGTGGATGTGTGTGCTTGCAAAGGGCAGCATGTCTCTCCCAACGTTCTGATGTCACCCTGTAACCCCTTCTCAGGATCACCCCAGACCAGCCCAGCCCAGCCCAAGAACTCTTCTGGAAAGTGCTGACTGTGAAGCTGGTACCTGAAAACGTACTGCCCTGACCACAGAAATAACCCAAGTTCAGGGGACCGAGCAAGTAGCAACTTGGAGCCTCCCTGGGTAAGGTTAAATTAAGCCCCTAAACAATCCATAGTTGCCATACTTAATTACAACCATTAAAATTCTTGAAGTTGTTCCTTCTTGCTTCCTTCCTTCCTTTCTTCCTTCCTTCCTTCCTCCCTCCCGCTGGAGCTGGGGAAACTGTTTTAACAAGTCACCAGCCGTCCTCACTCTGTCCCGCTTACACCCCTCTAATTAAGGGCTCAAGCATTTGCTCCCAGATTAACTTTGTTTTTTCTCTCCCCTCCCCCACTCCCTAACATCCAAACCTGCTCACACAGCAACTTTTAATGCCTGGACTGTTTTTCTTAAGGCGTTCTTTTTTTATTTTTAAGTAGCTTTAAGTACATTATTGGTTTTCCTCTGTCTGCAGAACAGTTAGATGAGAAAGAGAAATTCTTTTGCACATTTTCTATAGAACACTGAGCTGCTATACTGAGCTGCTTGAACATTGACAAGCCGATGCCTTTTGGGACAGGCAGACTTGGAAAATTTTTCCTGGGCCTGTGCCTCTGCTACCAGCAATGGGTGTTGCCCCCGTTAAGGGACAGGCCTGTCCAGAGTTGGAACGCCTGCAGCACACTCACCTTCTCACCCAGCACAATCCAGGACTGGCTTGCGTGGCCCCACCTGGCCCCACCCGGTCCAGCACAGCTACTCCAGGCAAAGGATTCCTGGGATAAAACCGTTTGCCCAGGCCCTCACTAGCTAGAATTCCATTTGATCCTGCAGGAAGTTTTTTCCTTTTACCACATGGCTTGGGGAGCAGGAAGATAAAACATTAACCAATTTGGCCTGTTTTTTTGTTTTTTTTTTTTTTTTTCCTCTCCAGTTTCCCACTTGCCAGATGCTGACTGGGTGTTCTGGGTTTTATTTTGTTTTTTGGTCTCATGTGATCACAGAGGCTTAGAAGTGAACTGGCTTTTTGTTTATGAAAAAGCAACAATGCAAGGAAGAGAAAATAATACCAAAAAATAACCCGGGACTATTTATCAGGGAATGAAAAAGTTATCTGCTGGAAAAATATGTTAGGAGAAAAATAGCGACACACGGAAAAATCTTAAAAAAAAAAACAAAAAACGAAAACAAAAAAAAAAAACCCTCAATGCTCAACTGGGAACTTCTTAGAAGAGTTTTGCTTTTAATATCGAATGTTCCCAAAGTGCTTAGTGCTCAGAGCCCTGCTGCCACTTCTCATCTGAAGTAGCAACATCACAAGCCGAGTCCTATTTTTTAGTGAACTGCCTTACAGCCAACACAGACAGCATTGTGAGGTTTCCAGAAGAGTGGGAACGACAGGCGGTTTCCACCTTTCACAGCTAGTAAGTCCCTATCACGCCCTTGCCAAACCCTCACATCTAGTGTTTCTAGTGAGGCCCTGGACAGTGTCTCAATGGCTGCTGTGCAAAAGAACGCTCCCAACCTCCATCACTGCTCAAGCCTCAAGGAGGAAGAACTCCATCTGCAAGTTGGAGCTCCAGGTTCAGGTCCCGCCTCCACTATGAGTCAAGCAACATCAGGGCTCACCAGCTTTTTCTATAAAGGACCAGAGGTTAATATTTTCAGCTTTGTGAACTATACAGTCTCCGCTGCAACGACTCAACTCTGCCTCAGCCATGGACAAAATGGAAATGGACAAGCCTGGCTGTGTTCCAGTAAAACTCCACTTCTGGACACCAAAATCTGAATTTCACGTAATTTTCAGGTGTCACGAAATATTAGGCTTCTTTGGATTTCTTTTTTAACCACTTCAAAAATAAAAGCCATTCTTAGCTTGCAAGCCATATAAAAACAGGTGGTGGACTGAGCTATTTGACCACCAGTAAGTGTCACTTCCTCTTTCTGGGCCTCAGTCATCTCATTTGTAAAATCATGGGGACAACTGTTTGATTTCCACATGGTTACTCTGCAGGGCTGGGCAGTGCCCTGATTTTTGCTGCTTTATCACATGCTAACTGACAAACCCTCAGGGCGATGATCCTTGACATTCAAGCTGAGGTGCTAAGAACTTTCACTGAGAACTTTTGAAGGTTTTTTTCTCTAATGGAACTAAGGATCTTGCAAGCAACTAGTGCAATTATGCTGACTTAGGAAATGCTGAGACAGGCCTCCAAGGGAAGGACAGCCAGCCACCCACCTGAGTGGGGGCTGCTCTGAGTTTGTGCCTCAACCCTGCAGCTCATTAGCTGGGCAGCTCCTCCCCCTCACTCAGTTTGATTCTTCATCTCTTAAGTGACAAGCTCCCACCAGAAGATCTCTCCAGTTCCCCAGAAACTAAGGCTCCCCCATTCATGAGACAATTCTACTTCTGGAAGAACAATAGGGTGGCCACCATAGTTTGGTCGCTGACTCCCACACCCTCGTGGGACAGCCTCTGCCCACCTAGCCTGAGAAGGTCACACTTCTCAGTGTGGGACCTGGTGGGCACTTCTGACTTCACGGCAGGTGAGGGGTCTGGAAGGAAAACTGGGGTGGATATGCCTGAGTGTCTACGACACTAAGAAGGGACCTCTCCAACCAGGTGCAGTGGCTCACGCCTGTATTCCCAGCACTTTGGGAGGCCAAGGCGGGCAGATCACAAGGTCAGGAGATTGAGACCAGCCTGGCCAATATGGTAAAACTCCGTCTCTACAAAAATTAGCCGGGCGTGGTGGCGGGCACCTATAGTCCCAGCTACTCGGGGCTGGGAGGCTGAGGCAGAAGAATCGTTTGAACCCAGGAGGCGGAGGTTGCAGTGGGCCGAGTTCACGCCATTTCACTCCAGCCTAGGTGACAGAGCGAGACTTCATCTCAAACAAAGAAAAAAAGAAGTGACCTCCCAGATGATGCTAACACACGCTACTGGGAGGAGGCCTTTACAAAAAAACCAAACAAAACCCACTTTTTGCGGTCACTTGGTGGAATGTTTCAGCATCGTTGCCACGCCATCTGACTTTTAAAGCTTGAGTCCCACGGGAACTGCTTGGGTCACAAAGTTGCTTTCCTGGCACTGTCAGGGCCAAACTAACTTGCCCCAGTCAGGATCCTACAGATTCCATCACTTCTCTGCCTCAGAACCCATGCCCTGAAACCCCACTAGAGGAAACAGAGAGCCAAGCACTCTCCACTTTTATTTTATTTTACAGAGGGGGTCTTGTTCTGTCGCCCAGACTGGAGTATAGTGGCACAGTCATACCTCACTGCAGCCTCTAACTCCTGGGCTTAAGTGATCCTCCCACCTCAGCCTCCTAAAATGCTGGGATTACAGGCATGAGCCATCGTTCCCAGCCACAATCTCTACTCTTTTTTTTTTTTTTTTTGAGACAGAGTTTCACTCACTCTGTCACCCAGGCTGGAGTGCAGTGGCGTGACCTCAGCTCACTGCAACCTCCCAGGTTCAAGCAATTTTCCTGCCTCAGCCTCCCGAGTAGCTGGGATTACAGCTACTCGGGAGCATGTGCACCACCACACCCAGCTAATTTTTGTACTTTTAGTAGAGACGGGGTTTCACCATGTTGGCTAGGCTGATCTCAACCTCCTAACCTCAAGTGATCTGCCCCCCTTGGCCTCCCAAAGTGCTGGGATTACAGGCGTGAGCCAACAGTCTCTGCTTTTGAAACCACTTACATCTACCCCAGAATATGGGCTGATCATCTAGGCTCAAGGTTTTACAGAAAACATGTTCTGCCTCTGAATGGGAGTTGTCTAAAATTACCAACTCCACTAAGCTCACCTAGGGGACAGTCCATGCCAGGGGCTTTTTATACCAATATACATTCCTTTTTAATACTCCAATTGTTTCTGCTCAAGTGAACATCTTGGCTTAAAAGGGGGGAAAATACACAGCTCCTCTCAACAAAGACTTCATGCCCAACCTATTTGTCATACTACTAATTAATACACTCTAAAAGAGAATAACCCAAGGCTGGGGGGCCCAAGAGAGAGGAAAGAGACACAGAAATACCAACGCACCTCCAGTGAGATGCGTAAGTCAAAACCCATTCATCTTCGAAAGGCCCATGTTTAAAAGGTCACGGAGAGGTTAATGATGAGCCGTGGAATTTCGAGATGTAAATAGCCTGCTGCAGAAGCTGGGTCTGCTTTGGCCCAACTGTGGGAGTGTTTGCACAACTTCACCCCATTTCACAGCAACTGGTCTGGCTTTCACCCCTCCCCTCCAGCCCTCCAGCCCTGAGGCTGGACAGACACTGGGCTGAAGGGGACCCAGTGAGGGACACTCCTCTGCAAGGGTAGGAAGGAGGGTGCACTTACCCAGTGGCTTGTACTCGTCGCGAGGAGACAGCCGAGAGTAGGGAGGTGGCGGAGATTCTGGAAGACAGGAGACAGCATGTCACTGCCAGGGTCGGGGAGCTCACACCTCAGGTTCTACATGCTTTTAATTTCTGGTTTCCGCAAATAATAAACTCAGCCTCCAGAAAGCCCTCCCTTTGTCCCACCTCCTCTGCTGCCCAAATCCCCTAAACAGTTAAAGCCACAGACTTGGGGCACAGACAGATACGGGCTCAATCCCAGCTCTGCCATATTTGGCTGTGTGACCTCAAGCAACTTACTTCACCTCTCTGAGCCTGTTTCTTCAGCTCTAAAATGAGGATAATCATCATCTAGACCTCTCAGGTTTGCTGGGATAATGTATGTAAAATGCTTAGTGCCGCTCTTGGCACTATCGAAAAACACCTCCATAAACAGTAACTGTTACTACTTTAACAAGAGAAACGTGAGTGCAGGGAAAGTCAGAACCAGGGCTGCTGGATAAAATACCAGATGCTCAGTTACATTTGAGTTTTGGATAAACATAGCATCATTTTGTAGTGTAAGTGTGCCCCTTTCAATATTGGCGGTGTACTTATACTAAAACATGGTGTGTTGTTTATCTGATACTCTAATTTAACTGGGCATCCTGCATTTTACTTGCTAAATTTGGCAAGCCTAGTCAGAGTTGAGTGTAAGTGCAAAGGCCCAGACGCAGAAACTCGTGTCCAAACAAGCTGCATTAGAGCTAGCATTCCTAGGTGCAGGGGAGGACAGTAGAAAGGGTTAGGACCCAAAGGGCCAAACCCAGCTATCTCAATAGGAGGTCTTAAAGCCAGTCACTTCCACTCTTGGCCTCAGTCTCCCCTTTTGTAAAGGACAGGGGTGGAACGCAAGTTCTCTACAGCTCAGATGCTATTATTCCTTATTGTCTATGATATTTTTCTTTGGGTTTCCTTTCATTTGCCTAAAATACTCCTCCTTAAAAACATATACTTTGCCTTCAGAAGAATTCCTTAGCTTCTTGCTTTATGGGAAGTAACAATTTGCTAAACTAAGTAACAATTTGCATGAATGAAATGACCCTTCATTTTCGGTAAATGAAACTAAACACAATCAAATCGCAAACTAAAACAAACTCTCAGTGGTAATAAAGTGGTAATAACTATTATTAGGCGGGTATCAGTAATGACACAAGGGGTAATAAGTGTTTTTCGCAATTGTAATAAGGCACAATTAGTTATAGGAGCACTTGTTTTGCTCCATACACCCAATGAGGCCTCACCTCTTCCCCACCCTGGCTTTTCCAGCTCAAAGTTACTTCCAACAAAGTCAAAGCTCTGAGGTTTAGAAACAGAGACTTTCTGTGGACAGAAATTAGGGAGAAGGAAAAGTGAATCACAGAGTAGCCACTGAGAGAGACGTGAACATTTGCTCGGTGCCTACCTTGTGTCTCACTCCATGCCAATCACTTTCAATTTTATTATTTTAGACCTCAGGTACAGAGTAGTTAATGATGCTCATCAGGCACCTATTTTTATTTAATCCTTTCTCAAAATACAAAAAACAAATGAGATGACATTATTATCCCCATTTTACAGGTGAGAAAACTGACTTGCGCATGTCTCCTGAGCCAGTCATGGTGGAGCTGGGATTCCAGTCCAGGCCTAACTCTGCTCTGCCACCCAATGAGGTGGAATCAAGAGATGCCCTTTCTTATACCGCTTCATCCCCGCTGGGTCTGGGACATCACCTGCACAGAACATGCTCACTAAATATGGACATAGACAACTGGGATGAGGATAATGGTAAAGTTGAATGCACCTGTGGACAAAGACGTGCAGAAAGAGGATCTAGGGGGCTCTCAGGCCTAGAGGCCAGCCTTGAGGAGGACCGGCCTCTCAGGACAAGGGGCAGCGCAGAGGAAGGGCTGGAGTTCCACAGGAAAAGAGAATTGAGGCCAGTGCTTCCACTGTACGGAGGAGGAGGCTGTGGCCTGGTGAGTGGAAGTGACTTCCTCAGGAGCTAGGTATGGAGCCAGAACCAATGCCAGGTCCCTGACCTCCATGCCCTTTCCACTACCCGCAAGAGCTTATCAGAAAGCCTGCAATTTCTTAGGGTTACTTTTGCAAAAATCTGACTGGCTGAGGCCTAGGCCACACATGGCATGGAGCTCTGCACATCCGCCCCCAAGATTTGCCCCCAAAGGTGAATCTTGACAACTATGGGCAGTAGTGGCTGGAGTCAAGCCTCTGTAACCAATGCCAGCATCTCTTCCAGGGGCTGCTTACCTGGGAATCAAAAGGTGGAAGGCAGGAAAGGCTAATGAAGTCCCACCTGGAAGAGCTACCTGAGCCTTGAGTTGTGACACCCACTACCCACGGCCATAGCTGAGTTGGGAGTTCCAATGTTGTGAGATAGAAAGAAAATCTATGAACCTGAACCAGGAGACATGCCAGGTAGTGGAGCACTGCAAAGTGTTCAGGAGGGACCTCACCAGGCTCCCATTAGCTCTGGCAAAATGGTATGCACACAACTGTTTATTTATTTGAGACAGAGTTTCGCTCTTGTTGCCCAGGCTAGAGTGCAATGGCGTAATCTCGGCTCACCGCAACCTCCACCTCGCAGGTTCAAGCGATTCTCCTGCCTCAGCCTCCCTAGTAGCTGGGATTACAGGCATGCACCACCACGCCCAGCTAATTTTGTATTTTTAGTAGAGATGGGGTTTCTCCACATTGGTCAGGCTGGTCTTGAACTCCCGACCTCAGGTGATCCGCCCGCCTCGGCCTCCCCAAGTGCTGGGATTATAGGCATGAGCCACCGCACCCAGCCAACTGTTTAACAACTGCATGGACTGAAAGCTAATCACTAGATTCCATTGTAGGCAACTAAAAAAGTATGAAGGCTTTAGACTCCACCCCACAACACAAGGATTTAGAGTGTCAGAGACAGAAGAGGCCTTGGGGTTCACCCAACTCAATTCCTTCTTTTCACTGGTATGAAAACTAAGGTCCCACTTGCTGAAGGACCTGCCCAAGGCCACATATGAAAGTAGCTGCAGGTATTATGGGGAAGGCCAGCTGGAGACCAGTATCAGGTAACCCTTTCCAAAAATTGAGATATAATTCACATACCCTAAGATTCATCCTTTTTTAAAATATACCATTCAGTGGGTTTTTTTAGTATATTTACAATGTTGTGCAACCATCAACCACAATCTAAACACAGGACATTTTTTTTCATCGCAAAAAGAAACACCATCCCCACTGGCAGTCACTTCCTAGACCCCAACCCCAAAACCCTGGGCAACCACTAACCTACTTTTTGTCTCTATTCCCATGCCCATTCTGGACATTTCATTTCATACAACATATAGCCTTTTGTGGCTGGCTTCTTCTTTCATATGGCACAAAGTCGTCGAGGTTCATCCATGTTGTAACATGTTTCAGTACTCCGTTCTTTTTCATGAGTGAATGCTATTCCATTTTTTGGATGTACCATATTTCATTTATCCATTCATCAGCTAATGGACATTTGGGTTGCTTCCTCTCTTTAGCTATTATGAATAATGTGCTATGAACACTACTGGGTAACAATCAGCCACCATTCCCACGTGGCTGCACCCTATGGATCTGGACTGATGGAGCCCCAGGGCATTACCTCAGGTGGGCAAGGTGGGCACTCAGGTGGGACACTTGGTGGGTGAGACCAAAGATCAGAAAAGAAACTGTGAGCTGCCACCAGGCCGGCCCTCTGTCCACTCCCCTCTTAGAAGTTGTCTTAGTACTTTTAAAAGTTGTGTTGATTTTAAAATAATAACCCATATGCTCTAAACTTTAACAGGAGAACTTTTAGAGCACTGCAGGCCCCTCTGAAAGAAGTGGACCTGGTAGGGAGGAAAAGAAAAGAGAGGGAGACAGAAAGACATCAGCAACTCCAACCCCCTTGGACATCCAGCCTGAGGCATCAACTTCAGGAATCTCCTCCAACTTCCTGCAGAAGCAAGAGCAGTCAGCCAGGGGCCAGTGCACCAGAAGGTTCAGCTCAGCCCAGGCATGCCTCTGGTTAGCCCCCAGGGGGTACTTAGCCTTTTGGGATCTAGACCTAAATTCTAAAGCCAGAAGAGTTCACAGCCTCTCCCAGTGCCTGGAAAAGTTTCAGTTTGGGACATTACCTTCCACCCCCAATCTTTGCAGCTCAGCATCTTGCTTAGGAAAAGATTCACATGCCTCCCGGGTTGCCAAGTTTCCCCCCCTCCCAAAGAGGGGCTGTGGGTGGGGAGGGGGCCTCCTGAGTGCCCATCCTTCCTGCCCCCAGAAGCCTAAGACTCAACCCTAAGCCCCATGATGGGACACGCAGAAAAGGAGCTCCTGGCACTTTAAGGCTGGCTGAGCCTAATTGCCCAGATTCCCCTGGCAGCCAGATAAACAGCGCAGCCGGCTGGCGCCAGCAAGAGGCAAACTGCACATTATCACCCCTTCCTCACCTCCAGGAGGAGCTAGGAGGAGCAGACAAGCAGGGCTAGGGGCCGCTGAGCCGGGCAGGGCGGGGGCTTGGAAGCCCAACTTGAAATTGATCTCATTTCAAAGGGATAATGCCAGGCCAAATAAAAGGAAAACTTTCTAGCCCATTCTAATTCCTATAGTCCTGGCCTGGGAACCCTGTGTTTTCCTAGGCGGCCTCCTCCAGTCGTTTAGAAGTTCTCTCTCTCGCTCTGTCTCTCTTCCCCGGGCGCAATTTGGATAATAGTAATTTACTGAATATAATTACAGAAAAAAAAAAAGTGGGGAAGCAAAGAGCAGGAGATTTATTCCGAAGTTAATGGATACTTTCAGGAGAAAGGAGCTCTATAAACACAGGTTAGAGCTGTGATTAAAGTATTTCTCCACATTTCCGTCCACATAGGCACCCACCGAGCTCAGCGAACTGGCTTTTCCTGGGACAGAAAGACACCCAAGGGGGAGGCAGAGCTGGGCCTGACTCCCACGGGCTGGGAGGCCAGGAGGCCCCCAGCTCATGCCCAGCAGAGGTGGGTCCCCTCCTCAGGATCCCTGTTTCCGAGACAAGCCTGGGGCAGAGTGGGGGAGGGGACGGAGGCCTGTGTGGCCTGGAATCTGCATGTCAGCCCGCAGGGATTCCCTCCAATCCCTTACTTTAGATACGGGAAAAGAAGCCCAAAGGCGAAACTAGCCCCAAGCCACAACTCAAGTTGATGGAGAATGGGCTCCGAACAGCAGGGGTCCACACTGCCCAGGAAGGGGTCTCCTGTCACGGGGGCTCCCTGCGGTGGTCCATGAAGGTGCAGAGGTGACGGCTGCCAGGTGGGAGTCCCTCAGTGCTGGTGTTCCAGTGTACTTTGCTCGCTAGCTGTGTGCCTGCGCTGTGTGTGCGAGCGCGTCTGTCTGCCCGGTGCCCGGGCTCTCTCCCCAGAGCCCTGGAAGGCGCAGGCTCCTTATCAGGACGCGCACGGCTGAGCCCTAGCTATGCGCCCGCCCAGTTATGGGAGCCAGGCTGGCGGCCAGGCGGTAGAGGCGGGGTGGGCAGCCCAGGGCTCCCCCAGCTCTCAGGCCAGGGGCAAGAGGGTCAACCTGGCACATACTGGAAACTCTTCCCTGACCATCGGTCCTCCCAGCGGTCCCCAGGGTGGCTGAATGGGGGCCCCACCTGCTAGCAGCTAGCAAAGGAACAGGGGAGGAGACTTGGGGTGCTGCAGCCCTGGCAACAGCGCCTCCTTCTGGGAGAAGGAGGGGAATCAAGTCCCAAGGCTTAGTCCAGATTTAGATGGGGAGAATGTTCCTAGAGCCACCCCCACTGACCAGCACGGTGGCTGAGGAGAGGTAACTCATCCAAAGTCAAGCGGCAGGTTACGAGCTGGGCAGAGCCTAGGACTAGGTCCATGGTCAAGAACCGTTCCACTGCAGCTTGCCAGGTATCTCTTGACCTGTACCTCTCCAAAACCACTAAATGTAAACCAACACCCAAGCCAGCTCTTAGTCCCAGGAGTAGTAGCAGGAGCGGTCCTGTCCATTGTCTCCAGCTTTTTCACTCCTCCCCGCCCTGCCCACCCACCTGAGCATGGCTGGCTGGCTCCCTCTCCTCTGACCCATCCTCCAAGGTCCTGCTCCAGGCTGGAGCTGTGGAGCTCCTTCAGGCCATCCTATTACATACACCCCACAGCCTTCTGGTAGTTCAGACCCAGTGACCTGGCCCCGCATACTTCCCTTCTTCCTCCATTTCTCCTCCATAAATCCCTCGTGGGATTATGTTTCTTGAGGGCACAGATCCTACTCATATTTCCACTCTGCTAGCCACAGCACCCTGCACAGTGCCTGGCCCAGAATAGTTGCTCAACAAACATTTGCTGGCACACTGAAGTGGCGAGAGAGAATATACCTGCCAGGGGCTTCTACAAGAGTGGAATGGGCCCACTTAAAAAAAAAAATGACCAGGAACAAGACAACCATAAATAGGGGTCTCCTTCCCCAGAGGCAGGGAGGAGACAGAGTTCGCAGAGGGGAGAAAGTCACTTCCAGGGAAAGCTGTCAGCAAGAGGAAAAGAGTGCATAGAAAGCCTGGCATGGGCCACAGATCAGGGACTGCTCATACATCCTAAATTAGGACTGGAGTTACCATGAGGGGAGTAAGGTGCCTGACCAACAATGCCCCTCCCCACTCACCCCCATCAATGCCCTCTATGCAGGAATCATCACTGAGGGAAAACTTCCTTTCCTCTCCAGACACTACTCCACACACAGACAAGGCACCTAGGACAAATGCACCATCCTAGGCCCATCTTCCTCTTCCACACAGAGTCAGGAGACCTAAGATCTGACCCTCTCTGTGCTCCCAGCCTGGGTGCTGACTCTCCCCAGGGAAGCCAGAATGGAGGGATTCATAGCCCTCTCAGGCTCAAGAGCCTGTGACTCCCTGCCAGTCCCAACCCTGCAAAACCCCAGTGTCACCTGATGGATTCCCATACATCCCTCAGAGGCTAGCTACAGGCTAAAATGTGTGTTCCCCACAAGGCAGAGGTCAGAGCAAGGCAAGTGCAAGCTCCTGGCCTGCTGGAGCCTCCTGACCTGCTGGAGCCTCCGCCTGTCTGCACCTGAGCACCAGGGCCTAGCCGGGTAAGCAAGGCTAAGGGTGGGGTGTGTGCAGGAAATCCCAAGAGGAGAACAAAGAAGGGGGGCAGTTCTCAGAGGTAATCGAGTATCTGGCTTCTTCAACTACTCACAGATGCCACCAAGACCCTAAACTCTATACAAAAGCTGAAAACAAAAGTTGAGAAGGACTATGGAAGACCCTGGCACTTGACACCCAAGGGATGTGGGGAATGATAATACGGGGGGAATAAAGACGGTGCTCTTTACTCCAGAGAGGGATTACCCTGCAAAGCTTTGTCAAAAGTATACAAAGGCACAAATTGGGCATTTGACGAAGACTTTTGATTCTAGCTATGATTTGTGTACACCCAATTTCACAACTTAGAGCTGCTTGGACATAGAAAAGCACAGTATGGGTAAGGGCACGTGCATACAAATGCTAGAAGCCTGGGTACAGACTGGGGTAGATTCCGGAATTGAGGTAGGAGGAAATAGTACCTACTTCTTTGGTCTCTCCTTGGCCTGCCCTCCCCTTTCACTGCCTATGAAGTTGGAGCCTACATCATGTCCCTGAAACTGCACAGAGAAAACTACGACGTGCACCCTTTTAAGTTTACCGGAGACTTGAAATAAAGTTGCCACTTGAGGTGTGTGCTGGGATACCCACTCCCCTCGGCTGGGCTAAGGCGCCTCTCCTGGTGGCTACCACGCTCCAAGGGCACCCGCGGGAGCACCCGCAGCTGCGCCGACCCGCAGTGTCACAAAGAGAAGGGCAAGGAAGGGGACGGGGACCGGGAGCCGGGGCC